AAGAGTGTCCCTTACCTTGGAGATGTTTCTCCACCACTGTGAGATGCTCTGGTCTGAGTTACTGGGCCTGGAGGCCCCAGGGGCTGAGGACTGGGCCCTGAAGTCAGCCTCATGCTCTTCTTGGAGGGCTGAGGATTGGGTTTGCTGGACGATGTTCCTTGTGCTACACTTGGTGTAGCCTTCTGGCTAGCAGTGGCCTTAATGACCCTGTCATGTGTAGCAGACAATTCCAGCCCAGTCCCAGGGTTCTCACTGGATGTCTCAGGAGCTTTGGCTTCCACCTCCATGGGCAGCAGCAGATGACCAGGGGTCACCTGGCCTGGGCCAGGAATGCTGTCTCCCTGCTCTGGTGAGGTCTCTGCCTGGTTGAGGAGGTCAGTTCCCATCCCTGAAGAGCTGATGGGGGACAGCCTCTCCACTGTCCCCTCTGACAGGTCAGCCTTCTGGCTCTCTGCAGGAAGATAGGCAGGATACGAGTACATAAATGCGCTCCCATGGGAGGAGTCTATTACAGATATTGCAAAGAATATGTACAGTGTACCATATTTAAAATAGTGAAAAACAGGAAAGAGCCCAAATGACCACCAGTAGGAGGCTGGTTGACTAAACTGTGGTCTATCGACACAATGGAATATTGTTGTACAGTCCTTAAAAAGGAGAAATTAATATCTCTCTATGCAGCTATAGAGTGGGGGAAAAAGCAAGGTGGAGAATACTATAGTATGTATGATATCCTGTTTAAGAAGGGAGAATATGTGTGTGTGTGTGCATGCACACACATGCATGCATGTGCATATATCATTTCTAATGTGATCTAAATAGACTGGACTTCAAAAGAAAGACAAAACTTTTAAGTAGTTGCTTATGGGAGTAGGAAATAGGACCCTGGGAACAAAGATAGAAGCTAAACTCTTAATATATCTGTTGTCTTGATTTGACTTTGGAACCATGCAAATATTATACAACATTTTTAAAGAAAATTAAACTTTAAAAAAGTAATCCATAGACATTTAAAACATAACAGGAGGGGCCAACAGGTGGCGTGGTGGTTAAGGGCGCTGGACTCATACATAACCAACTGTGGTTCAAGTCCTGGAACTGGTGGCTTGCTTTCTCACTTTCTCTCTCTCTCTCTGTGTCTCTCTCCGGTCAAATTAAAATAAATAAATGAATAAATAAAATTAAATAAAAAATCTTTTTAAAAAAAGAGAATTTGAAAAAAGGAAGTAATCCATAGACATTTAAAACATAACATGAGGGGCCAGCAGGTGGCATGGTGGTTAAGGGCACTAAACTCCCATATGGCAAACCGCGGTTCAAGTCCTGGAACTGGCAGCTTGCTTTCTCTCTCTCTCTGTCTCTCTCTTTCTTTTACTCTCTCTCACTCTGTCCCTCTGGTTAAATTAAAATAAGTAAATGAATAAGTAAAGTTAAATATAAATAACTCTTTTTAAAAAATCAGAGAGGAACTATCCTAAGTGATTTTAAAACACAGCAATTGCTTATGTATCTCTAGTGGGCTACATATAAAAGATGAAAAGAATTGAAAAAAAAAAGTTGAACACACTTCTAGTTATCATATTGTGGGTGATATTGTTGGTATCTTTCTTCTGAAACTGTTGTGTGTGTGATATGGAAAAAACCACATGGGGTACCACTTACCTTCCCAAGGCCCCCTGATCTCGGCTTGCACACCTCTGGTGCTCAGTGCATGCTTTGGTTTGGCTCCCTTCTCTTCCACTTGCTCTTTGTTCTAAAATAAACAGCCATAAAAACTATCATCACTACCATCAACATTAGCATTCAAGTCACAGACATTTGTTGGACACTTACCATGTGCTTAAGATAAAGGTACTCAGCTTATTTTACGTAGTCTCACAGTAATATTAGAGGGCAGATACTGTCGTTATCATGTTAGGGATAAGAACAGAGGTCTTCCCAAGGTCATAAAACTGAAGAGGAGGATCCCAGTTTCAAACCCAGAATCTGAATCCTTCCCAGTGCTTCATGGTTTTGCCAGTAAAGAGTAGACCCAGCTCCTTACTTGGGGCAGAGGAGGTCTAAATAGACTGGACCTCAGAGGATTTAGACCAGGGATAAAAAATAATCTTAAAGTGTCAGCTCACAGGAACAGCAGATGGCGTAATGGTTACGTGGCTGCTCTCCCACATAGTCAACCACGGTTAAGTCCCAGACCCAGAAGCTTGAAACTCACACCAAGTATGTACGTGTGTGTGTCCAAAATCCCGAGAGGAGAATGAAAAAGAAGATGTGGCATGGCCATTTCCCCTGAGGGAGAGGGGGTGATTTCTCACTTTCTGTCTCTCTGTCTCTCCAGCGAATGCACATACCCTATAGGAAAAAATCTCTCTTAAAAAAAAAAAAAGTCAGCTTATATCAATTGGTCATGGTTTAGATTGGATTCTGGAGTCAGATAAATCCATGTTTGTGGGGAAAGATGGCCACAACCAATTAATAATGTCTGCCTGAGAGCTGGGTGGGTAGATTCTTCCATCATCCTCTTAACAAGAAAGTGGTGTACCCAGAAGCACAGACTCTCAAGCCAGTTTTGCTGGATTTGAACCACCTTCGCCACTGGCCAACATCCTTAACTTCTCTGCATATCATTTTCTTCATCTGAGACATGGGGATAATAATAATATCTGTCTTGCAGAGTTAACGGGAGTTAATGTCTTGAGAAATGTGCCCAGCACATAGGGGCTTGATAGCTCTGGAGATTTTGTCCTGCCTGAGACAAAGAGCTCTCAGTGAGAAGTGAGCCCACCATGTAAGAGAAGTTTCCAGCAGCTTTCTTGAAATCTGAACCGTCCCCACCATACCAGTGTCTGGCCTATACGTGTTTTTACTCCTGAAATAGTCTGCACCACTTAGCACATTCGATAAAGCTGGCCAGTGACCTCTCAAGCAAGTATTTCTAGAGGTCCTGACCTCTTCCTGTGCCCACCCTTCCATATCCTTCAAAACCCTTCTTCTGAGAGTTTTAAGCCTCTGACTGAAATTTCAAAGATGACTCCTGGCCACGTCACAACAGCAGCTCTGTTCATAGCCCAAAGCCTTGTCTAGACCCTCAGGCAAAAGGCACTCACCAATATAGGGCCTTCTCTTGCCTTGGCCACGGGGAGCCCAGAGGCTAAAAGCACCTACAAACACATTATTTTTGGCTTGTACAGGATTTTAAAACTTTTCATTGGAAGGCCATCCTTGGCCTGGTGTTTAAAGGAGCTGGATCCCACACAATCAACCACACTGTTTGAATACTAGACCCAACAGCTTGAAAAACATGCTAGGTATACGTGTGTGCATCCCCAAAATCCTGAGAAGAGAGAATAATGGAGGAGAAGAGATTACGGCATGTCCATTCCTGAGAAGAGAATGGAGAAGGGATTGCAGTATAGCCATCCTCCTAGGGGGTGATTTTTCACTTTTTCTCTCTCTTTCTGGTAAGGGTATATACCCTATAGCAAAACTTAAAAAAAAAAAAAGTAACTAAAAATTTTAAAAATAAATTTAATTTGTTTCCAACATTTAAAAACCTAGAAACCTAGATTTGGGGGCCAGCAAGTAGCATGGTGGTTAAGGTGCTGGATTCCCACATGGCCAATCACAATTCAAATCCCAGACCCAGCAGCTTAAAAAATCACACCAGTCACACCAGGTGTGTATGTGTGTTGCCCAAATCCCAAGAGGAGAAGACTGGAGAAGAAGGGATTGCAGCATGGCCATCCCTGGAGGGTGGAGGTGCTGATTTCTTACTTTCCTTCTCTCTGTCTCTGGCTAGTACATGTACTTTGTGGCAAAAATCTAAAAAAAAAAAAAAAAGAAAAAGAAAAAGAAAAAACAGAGAAACAACTAGGAAACTTCTACATAAAATTCTAGGATCCCATCCCAGTCTCTGTGGCATAGTTGATCATATACCAGACTGTGGAGCTAAAGACCACATGCCAATCATGGTTCAAGTCCTCAACCCAATGGCCTGATTTCAGGCCGTGGGGTATGTGCACATGTGCTCAGGATGCTGGCAGACGAGGAAGGGTATTGTAATATGACCAAGCTCAGTGGAAGGTGCCTCTCTCTGTCTTTCTTCTGCACACATACACACTCTATTATATATTTTTTTAAATTCTAGGTTCCTTTTTGAAGTAATCAAATAGTTCTACATTTTTTTTCCTTTAAATTTATATTTTTTACATTAATTCACTATACATCATTACAGCATACAAAACGAATTTTCCATCCAAAATACACTGTATATTGGCTCAATCAAGCACATCGACATACATGTTATCAACAAATAATTTTCCATTTTTTATGTCTTGTATATTTTGCGCCTATGTTTTCGCCCTTTTTTTTTTTTTTTTTTCCCATCCTCGATTCCCTACCCCTCACCCTCTGCCCTGTCCAACACTCTTCCCACACTGTCTCTGGTATCCATGGTTGCTTTCTATGCCTTTCCCCCCCATTTAATTGATTTGCTAATGAACTAAATTTGTCTAAATATTTGTAAGAGCAAGCACAGCTGATATATACATATACATGAACCCAAGTCTGACTTCAGGCATAAACCTCAGTGAATAGAATGAACATACTATAAAGTAGTACCTAGCTGGGGCTATATAGCTTACTGCAGTCATCAAATATGCTTTTTTAAAATTTCTATAACAGTTTTAGTGGGGTTTTGTTGTTTTTTTTTTTTCTCCTGAAAACTTTTTAAAATTAATTTACATTCATTCCCTGAGCATCATCATAACATACTAAATGTGGTTTCCCATCTAGGATAAACTGTATAGTGGCTTAATCATGCATGTTATCATCAATAATATTCCATTTCTACTTTCATTTATATATATATATATATTTCTTACCCCATGTCTGACCCTCTGCCCTTTCCCACTCTCTTATTACACTATCTCTGCTGTCTACAGTTGTCTTCAATTCCTTTCCCCCCCAACATTTTGTTGATAACACAATATCATAAGTAATCTAACTACTTTCAATAGCAAGTTCAGCTGGTAATTTCAAGATAAGCAGTTTTAAGTTTAATAAAGCAAAGAAATGCTAAGTAACTTTGCTTAAAACTTAAAGCCAGGAAACAGGTTAGGATTCTATGCATATAGTAGGTACATGAATCTATCAACAGCTCAAGACAGGACAAAAATCTTTAAAACCAGACAACAAAGCCTAGAAGATACAGAATCCTGTTTCATCAGTTCGGTCTCGTGGACTTAATCTTTCTTCTGTTTCTGTTGAGATTCGATCTTCCAGATTGAACTCTGGGATATAATACTCAACTCCAGACTTTGTCCCTACAATTAAGTTGCCCATTTTCTTAGTTTTTGAACAAAATAGTTCTACATTTTAATGGTGTATATGGGTGTATACATTTGTGAAACTATATTTAAAATGCACATGTATAGTGTATGTGTGTGTGTGTGTGTGTGTGTGTGTGCAGTTTAACAAACGCAAATTATAACTTAACAAAATCATCAAAACTGGTTCAAAAAAATTCTAATTTTCCTGAAAATCTGACAACTCTAGACCCAAACAGAAAAAAAAAAACAACACTGGCTAGGGCAGTTCCCTCTAACTGAGACACTATAGCCCTCACCTCTCCCAAATGCCCTCCTGACTCTATAGTTCCACCTACACTATGCTCACTACTCTTATCCCTTTGGAATTCCAGGATATCCTTTAATGGTAAAAACACAACCAATGGAGAACACACAGCCCAGCCCTCAATGTATGGTAGACACTCAATAAAAAAAATGGTAGCAGCAGGACCAGCAGTTGGCACAATGGCTATGTAGTCGACCACAGTTCAAGTTCTGGACCCAGTGGCGTGTGCATGCATGCCCAAGATCCCAAGAGGAGAATGGAGGAGAAGGGATTGCGGCGTGGCTATTCCTCCCGGGAGTGATTTCTTGCTTTCTATCTTTCTATCTCTCTCTGTCTTTCTGGTGAGTGCACATGCCCTCTAGTAACCTCTTCAAAAAAAAATAAACCCCTTAAAAAAAAAAAAAAAAAAAGGTAACAGCTATTGTGATTATCACCAGTGTAGTTGTCAAGGTGGCCCAGACCCCCTGCTCCACAGATAGCTCTCCCAGATCCTTTTTCTGCAGCCTCTGTCCTGCCACCCCTGCTGTTGAGAAAACTGGAGGCATTATCACAGAGGCTGTTTTATTCCCCGGTAACAAGGGACTTGGACAGACTGTCCTTTGGCAGACCTTGTTGGCTCAAACTGTCCTCTTTCTCACTCTGTCCTTAGTACATGTGCACACGTGTGTACACACACACATCACTGGGTTCTGTCTTTGGGGCTCAACCTTCGGATCCATGCCTTGCCAATACACCCAGAAGTAGAAGAGTCCTCCAACACCATTCCAGAGGACTAATGCATCCAAACAGCTAGACAGTGCTTTGAGCCCACCCGTGGCTGAGCCTGAACCTGGCTTTCATGAGAGAGCACTAGCTTTTATTAACAATCTAATCATCATGGCAACCAAATGTGCCACGGACACTTCAGAATATCTGTGGAGGACTGCCCTAGAGTCCTGGCATGATTTTCAAATTTAACAGCCAGTGCTAGGTGAATTTCACAGATGATTACTATGCCCAGGAAACACAACGAGGGTCTCCGGAAAGTCTCAATAATGCACCGACAATCTGCTAAACAGTCGTGGCTGTGCCTACATTCTCTGTGCATTGTCTGAGTATCTCCCACAAAACCAACCCGGC